CCCCAAAACCCCAAAACCCCATAGTGAACTATTTCACACAATATTACTAGATTATATTAAACTTAAATGTGATAAATAAAACTAGGCAACTAATAGTTATGAAATTAAGATTATCAATATCTCAGCACAGTCTTTATTCAATTAAAATTTGATATCATCATAATATAGAAGAGATACCTCTTTCAGTTATTAAAAAGTGGCAAGTGTTAGTGCTCTATTTATTGGCAATACTACCTTTTATCAATTTGGCTTTGAATACATTATCCTCAGAAATCTGATGATCCTTTTCTAGCAGGATTCTATTGGTTACGCATTGAAACAGATCCTCACCAAACATTGGCTCAGGTTTTGACTACTGATATATTAACCCTGATCCAGCATTTCCCATACCCATACCAGAGATTCCTCCTCCAATACCTCCTCCTATTTCGCTTTAAAAGTCCTTTTTCTACAGTTTCATATTGTTAATGAGTACCACACTAATCTAGAACTTCTAAGCCAACTCTAGCAATCCCATTAATGCCTGGGAGATAATTCTCTTACGCTCTTAATAGCTGATATCAGAAAGTTTGAAATGCTCGCTTAAAGTGTCAAATATGATAATTTTAACCTTAGACAGTGGTGAATTTGAGAGTCTATCCTCAAGCTGATTGTGAAAGAGAGATTGCTGGTTGTCATCTAGGATTCTTACGAACTTAACCTTCTACAAGATTCTATCAATCGAGAATTCCTCTTTATATTTCTTGATTAGGGCAGGTTCCTTGTCTATCTTCTTCAATACTTACTAACGAAGCGATTTTGCCATTTCAGTCATTCTCTCAAGAGCAAAGTCACCATGAGTATCTACATATAATGCCTCGCCGTCTACCCCTCCTAACTCCTTGGGCAACTAAACATTCAAGCAGAGCTAAAAACATATTTGTGTTTTACCTGTTGCTGCCAAGCCGCCTAAAGTATTGGAATATTATATATTCGCTTACATATTTCTGTGGTCTCACCTATGCCAAATATCTCATCTAAGAAATTTTCATCCATATCTTCTTGACCTTGACGTATGACTTAGATTTCCTTCATTAGCTGAATCTTCTTTCTTTTTTACATAACTGAATCATCTTTATAGTTTTCTCTCACACCTATTAAGTTTACATTATTTTAGCATTTTCAGTTTTCAGTGGGCTTACTCAATGAAAATTCTAGAGGATTTTCCTTATCTAGTGATTCATACAGTTCTTTTATTCTCATTAATTCTTTTTTCAGTTGTTCTATCTAATCATTCTATAGCATAGGCTCTAAATGGAAATTAATAAAAAAACTGAACTGAATAGAGATTTATATAAATGTTAGCAAGGGTTGATTTAAATAGATAACTTACCAGTCTGAAGTCTATCTAGATGATTGAAGTATCTCATCACATCTGCCACTGTGATGTAGCCACTATGTATTAAGATTCCTCTTATTTGCTTGCTTAAACTCAAAAAGCTAACCTAAATAATATTTTCCGGGAAAGAATATTTACTTACTTATAAACAGTCCATTTTATTATTATAAATGCTATTATTGATTTCAATTTTCTTTTAGAAAGAATAAAATAATTTCTTAGGGGTTTTGGGGTTTTGGGGTTTTGGGG